CACAGTATCTTTTGGACATTACGAATGGAATGTTATGCCTTTTGGGTTTAAAATGCCCCATTTGAATTTCAAAATATTATGAACGACATACAATCATTATCATGGATTTTGTATTGTTTATATTGATGATATACTAATCTTTTCTGATTCTATTGATCAGCATTTTAAGCATTGAAATAAATTCATTCAAGTAGTAAAAAAGAGTGGATTAGTTCTTTCTGCTATTAAAATGAAATTATTTCAATTAAAAGTTTGATTTTTAGGACATTATATTGAGCAAGTCCCAATTGAAAGAAGTATTGAATTTACTTCTAAATTTCCTGATGAAATCAAAGATAAGAAGTAGTTGCAAAGATTTTTGGGAAGCCTAAATTATTTTATATTCTCGACTTAAGAAGAATCTGTCACCTTGGACAGATTTTCATACTGGGGCTGTTTGAAAAATTAAACTTATAGCTAAACATTTACCATGTCTTTCATTTGTAAATCCTGAATGGTATAAGATTGTTGAAACTAATGTCTCACATATAGGATATGGAGGTATTCTTAAACAAAGAGATCTCAGTACTAATAAGGAATTTCTTGTTAGATTTACCTCAGGTAAATGGGGATTTACTCAACTAAATTATTCTACTATTAAAAAGAAAATTTTGTCCATTGTTAAATGTATTAGTAAATTCCAAGATGATTTGCTAAATCAAGAATTTTTGTTAAGAATTGATTGTAGTTCCTCAAAAAATATTCTTGAACAAGATGTAAAGAATATTGCTTCTAAACAAATATTTGCAAGATGGCAAGCCATTCTGTCAGTTTTCGATTTTAAAATTTAATATTTTAAAGGAGAATTAAATTATCTTCTTGATTTTTTAATAAGGAAATTTTTGCAAGGCTCTTATGACCAGAGGCCAAAGTAGTAGTCGTGGTCGAAATCGCGACAGAGGAAGATCTAGGAGAAGGACCCAGGTCAATGTTTATTATCCACCACTTAATAAATCCAAATAGCTTAAAGAAGAATCATCAAATAAAAGTGATGATGACGGTTATGCCGTTAGAAAAAGCAAGAAATCTATGAAATAGGCCTTAATAGCCAAACCCCATTTAAATTATATAGAATTAAAAACTCAGTCTATTTATAGCAGTATTTTTAACTTTGGATGATGAATATATTAATTGAATAATTGATTCATATTACATTGCTAAGCAATTTATGACAATGGATAAAACCTTTTTTGTCTCTGGAAAAAAGGACAGAAATTTTATGAAAATATTTTTATTGAGACAGATTTTGTAAAATTTCAGAGATTTTACAATAATAAAAATGATCTTAAAGATCCACAATATAGTAAAGCTTGCATATTAAGAGTTATATCTTCAAGAGACTGGGGACTAAATTTAATTATTCCCATAACTTTAACAAAAGCTCCATATATGGAATATCATTACTTCGATTATATCGATGCTTGGTATAATGTCTTTTTATCTAATTGTCCAAATTTGTGGCACTCACGGTTCTTCCAATTTATAGAAACATGTATTGAGATTCCTAATTGGTTTTATGACTGGTGAGAAACTCATGGTGCCATCGAAGAGATATATCCCGAAGAGATGAAAAAATTATTTTAGATATATAAAGAAAAAAGTCTATCCTTAAAGGATAATCAAATTTTGGATAAACCCATAATTAATTTCTCAGTCGAATTCTTTGTACCTTGGATTTGGGTATGGACTCTTGTGTGTGACTTTAATCAACATGGACATCCCAAATTGATAAGAGAATATCATGTAAGGTTTTAGAATAATTATCTGCTTGATTCTAAAATTTCAATTAAAGCGAAATATTTTAAAGATATGGGAAAAGAGGAAGAGGAACCCTCAACCTCAACCTCTAAAACACTTGTTCCCAACTCTTGTATAAACACTGGATTTAATCCCATTGAAATTCTTTAAAAAAAATCCCATTTGACAACTGAGAAGCTTAAAATGATCGAAATTCGTCTACAAATGATGTCCACCTCTGGTATGGGCAAACCAAAGAAGATGGATCTCGTCAATAATCCAACAGTTGCCATAAAAGACTAAGGTAAAGAAAAAGTGGAGCAGGACGATAGGAAATTCAATACTCTTATTGACTCTGATGACGATTTTATGAATTCTCAGGAATATACCCCTATTAAAGGTGATATTTCTATTAATGAACATTTGCTTAATGATGATATGGAAATAAATCTCCAAGATAGTGATAATGAACTGTAAAATTTGATCTATAGGAAATAATCGGATAAAGTCGAATCTGAGGAAGTGACGCACGTCAGGACGTCATTAACAAATTATTGGAATAAATGACGTAAGCAATGACATCACCAACAGTAAAGATGACTTACTAAATGATATCAATGTAAATTATTAAAGTTGTCAATAGTAAAAAATTATAAATAGTTTAGGTTGTGTTGAAAATCGGATTTCATGTCCGGTCTCTATTTAAAGAGGTGTAGGTCCAACGTGTTGGACACCCTCGGACGACTCCTCTTCTTTGTCTTTCTTGCACCCTCTCTGAATCTCCAATCATCTTCATTAGAGTCCACTATCAATCTAGACTACTATCACTCTGTAAATAAAACTTGTACATATCTTTTCTTTATATTAAATAAAAGCTTTTGCTAAGTATTACTTATTATATCGATCTTAGCCCCCTATTGGTATCAGAGTAGGCTAGAATAGGATTAGAATTTGTAGGTAATCAAAAATTTGAATACTCCTAGCTCGCATGGGAAACAGGGAAAACTAATCAGTATAAGCAGGTTCTCACATGAGGCAAGGCAACATCATTCCGCACAGTTCAATTCAAAACCCCACATCCAAATAATTGCAAACTTAACGATCAGATTTATTGGATGACTTACATGGCAACAATTATCAGACAAAACTAGAAAGCAATAACGAAAGAAAGCATTATAATCAACAGCGCACACGATTCGTTCATTATTATTATCATCAAACTAGGGGAGCCACAGTCGGAGCCAGTACAAGTCCAGAGGGGGCACTGGCCTACCCTGAAAGTTCTCTCGTCATTGTCCATGTGTTATCATCTTTAACTTATTTTAGTGGTACTAGTTAATGGTGCCCACCCATGATGCCGTAGTGCCCACTCGTGAAGGTCATGACCCATATGGGAATGAGCCCATTTTTTATTTATTTATGGAAAAATTAGAAAGAGGTACACTCAATTAGACTTAATTGTAAAAAAGTACATAGAAAAAAATGTTGAGTAATTAACTCTTTAATTTTGATATTTATTTGTATCTAAATACATTATTTGAATTTTACTGATCTTTTTTGTGACATTTTTGTCCTCCATTAATCCATGTGTATTTAATGTACCATTTTTCTTTGGAAAGTGGTGCATTAAACATCTCCTAATTTTTTTTATGAGAGAACTTTAATATATATATGTGTATGTATATACTTGTTGTTAAACCTTTCATCTAAATTTTGAATTATCTTTTAATGCACCTTGATTCATGCATTTTTTTTTAAAATGGTTTTATTTTTAAATTAATTTAATATCCGAATAATGTAATAGTGTAAAATAACAGTGTAACAATAAAAGTTTAACAATAACAATGTAACAATAACAGTGTAACAATATAACAATAACAATGTATTAAGCTATTTACACAAAATATTGTACTATTACATTTTGTCAAACATATAGTTTCATATAATTTTATTTAAAATAGTCCATCTCCGTTTTGAATTTGTTACCACATACACAAAACTATTGAACACTATTTTTATTACTGTGTATTTGTTACACTGTCTTTATTACAGTATATTTGTTACACTATTATTGTTACACTATTACATTATTCGGATATTAAATTAATTTGAAAATAAAACTATTTTCCCAAAAAAAAAACGCTTGAATCAAGGATCATTAAATATAATTTGAAAACAAAATCACTTTCACCAAAAAAAAAAAGTATGAATCAAAGTGCATTAATGATAATTCAAAATTTAAATAAGAGATTTAATAACAAGTATATATATATATATATATATATATATATATATATATATATATATATATATATACGTGTGTATATATATATATATATATTTACATGTATTAACAAATACACATAAATTAAGGTGCATTAAATATGTATTTATATGTATTAACAAACACACATGAATTAAGGTACATTAAAGATAAGAGATTTTAAATTAAATGATCCTGAAATGGGTATTTATGTGTTTGTAACTCAGCTGTGTACTTTTTTTTTAAAACATTTTGTTCTATGTACTTTTTGTCAAATAAGTCTAATTAGATGTATCAGCTTACAAAGAAGTCTTTATTTATACTTTTTGGGTCATTCATTGTTAACTTATTCACATTTCTTTAGTCGGTCTACTATTTATTTATTTACGTTATTATTATTGATCCAAGCTCATGTAGAATTCTTTTTTCTTAAAACTATTTTATTTAAGTTGGTATTACAATAATATGTTTAAAGACTTCTTAAACTCCTCTTATAGTTGTAGCGTAATCCATCAGGGGGTCTCCTTGATTCTTGAATCACAAATATCTTCATTCAATAGCAATGATATAATGCGATAATGTTTTCCTTCCATCTTCAATATTTTATTGTTTGATTCTTAATCAATTGTGAATGTTGTTGAGTCCTTGATTTTGAATGCCTACGTTGAGAAAATTTGTCGAGGCTAAATGCTTTCAAATGGCACAAATTTTCATTTTTATTTTAACAAAAGGCTTATAATTAATTTTTTGTTTTGTTTTAATTTTATACACTATGCTTACCTAATTTTGGCATTTTGTCTTTAAGGAAATTTTGAAGTATTAAAAGTAGCATAATAAAAAAATGAAATTTATTACCTTACTTTTGTAAATTTTGAGAAAAAAAATTTAAACCTCATTAAAATGGTTGGTGCCCACCCAGAAATGATTTTCTGGCTCCGCCCCGGGAGCTAACTGATTCAGAACATGGAGGACATATAAATGGCTATAGTTTGCATTTGTAAACTGTCACAGTAACACTGCTGGACCACAATTACAATAATCATTAGCATAAATCCTCATTTATTTGGAAGTACAAGCCCAATGTTGACTTAGGATAGACCCATTATTACATGGAGGATCTAGTGGCTAGCCATAATCACATGGCACATTCCTAGAAACCCAAAAAGTACCAACAACCCATACCTCCTCCTCTTCGCACTCAATATAAGAAAGACAGCTCTGCTCAAAGCATTAAAAGCTGGAATGCCTCATTACTGGTCTCCACCGCATACTCGTATCCAAGACTGCGGGCACGATTCTGAAACTCATCCATCTCAGTCGAAGCGACTTGGATACCGACTAATACATTAGCACCAATTTCTCCCTTCACAATACGGGTAAAAAAGAAATGAATTAATACCACACGCAAATCACAGAAAAAGAGGAATTTCCTTGCACTTCAATAAAAATCAGCAAATTTAAAACCTCAAAAAAGAAACAAAGAAAGAAAGAAAAACTAAGGTCGCTACCTGTCCGCGGTAATGGAACAAAGTAATATTCCAACGTGGACTGAAAGCACCCAAGAATTTCATCAATGCTCCTTGCCTCTCTGGGAAAATGAACCGACAAAGAACCTCATTTTGAACATTTGATCGACCACCCATCTGAAAGATTTAAAATGTAGTAGACTTAGGCATAATACACAACACCATCTACACTATTGACATGCTTATGGGTAAAAACAGTCGAATATCCTTTTTCCTATTGGTTAATCGTGATCACAGTTAATTATAAACACTATTGACTGTTTTAAAAGGCTTGGTAGGTCCTGTATATTAGTAGTACTGTCCTTGCCTGATATGGGTCTCTAATTGCATAAATCTAATACAATGTATGCCATTTCTTTGGTTCATCATTCTCTTCAATCATATCAACTGACTATTGGTTATGTATGTACATATAAACATAAAATTTACAGAAGGTTAATTTATGCAGGGCTGGCCTAAATTACAGGTTCTCCTAAGAAGCCATAATAACAAAACAATGTGTATATATTGATAAGAACAGTAACAGATAAGTATAATCCATAAAATTTTAAATTTCCCACTCCCGCTCCGTCACCCATGGCTACTAGACAATTAGATGCACATAAGTGCTAATGACATCTATTTCACCCAAATTAACCTGAATGATTCTACACCATTCTTGGATTCCAAAATAAAGGTCTCATTTTTAATGCTTTCTCCATCTTCACAGTCGCCAGAACTTTGGATGCCTTAATTCTTTGAAAGTATGTAGTTTCTTTGCAGTTGAATCCTACATACATACAGAGTACCACTAGAGAGAAGACATAATACAGATAAGGACATTAATATACTGTAAATGTGGGAGCTTTTCATTTTCACTGCCCTCACCAATACCCTTCATCAAAAGAAGTGAAAATGAGAAGCACTATCTATTTGTGAAATGAAAGTGAAAAATAAACAGGAATTATTTCAAGATGAGAAAAACAAGAAGCAAGATCAAAATGGGAGAGATAAGTATCAAGTGACAATAGAGCCTATATTGGATTATCGGATCCACAACATGTTCTCCATCAACCTCAACAAAGGATAAATAATAGTCCCAAGGGAAGTGTATTCCTAGCATTCCCCTGATGAATAGTACATACACTAACTAATGAGCTTATGCACGTCTAAGTAGAATCAGTCAAGCCAATGAATAATAAGTTATTCAGCAAGTGCAAACAAATGAAATTCAGTTAGAAGGTTACCAAGTGCCGTAGATGATCCTTAACCAAGTCATCGTTCGTCATATTGATGGTTTTAAGTTTTGAAGATTCCATCCTCTCCATCATTGCTTCAAGTTCTAGAGGTGTATGGAGGCCGACACTGCACAACACCAGGAAGAAATAGACACATGGAAATGTCACACTTGCTCTTCCCACTAATATATTGGAATCCTCCTCAAATACCCTCTCTTTCACAACCAACACCAAGTTGCAGCCACACATAAATAAACTAATAAATATATATACAAAAAATGAGAGATAATAGGATATGCATATAGAATAGATCATTTTCATCGAAATAGAAGTAAAGATCCAACATTTTTCTGCAAAAAAAAAAAAACGAGAATCTCTTACCTGTACAATACAAGAGCTGGTTTTTTATCAGAATGATATCTATACTTGAACTCAGTGATATTCATCCGTCCCACCTGTCAAACCAAATAATTTTTAAGTTCGAATCATGAATGGATCAAATAAAAAGTGAATATTTGATTTTAATACCACACCAGTTCACAAAATTGTTTAAAACTGCCAGGCACTTCTGGCATGGAAGTTGCAAGCACAGCCTCCCGTTGCCGACCAACATCTGCAAGTTCAGTTACCAATCTCAGTCTATCGAAGTTCATGTTTGCTCCACTGGTTATTGCAATGACATTCACATCCTTGAGGCCATAATACTTGCAGTATGCTTCAGCGCCAGCAAGGGCAAGAGCACCTGCAGGTTCTAGAATGCTCCTTTTCTCCTCAAACATGTCCTGTAACGAGCACATAGAATACAAACCTTAAGAACCTAAATTGTCAAAGGCCAAGCAGCAGTGTTACTGTATTAGCAATCCGTTGCTCAATGACAGTGAAGCACTTAACAGCAGCAATATAATGACTCCATACTTCTGATAGGTCAGGACAGCATATTAGGAGAAAAAATTTGACACTAAACATTTTCAACTACCACATACAATAGAGTGCAACTTGCAGTACACTTGGTCAGTGACCTGGCCTGTCAAGGTTTTGAAAAAAAAAAACAAATTCTATGTCATCCATGTGTGTTCCTGCACTTTTGAAGTTGAAACAACCATCTAAGCCCTGTCCTAATTTTTTCTTGGACTAACAGAGGGGATCACTGGAAAAGTCTGTTCTTGGAGGTAAAGTTAATAACTGCAATAATTTGGTCATCAAGATAGAAATTAAGATACTAATAAAAGACAAATGCTGTTGGGATCTAATGATGTGTCAGTTGACATAGTCCAAAGTACTATAGTAACTGTAACTATAGAAATGTTGATATTGGGACCATATCGGCTAACGTGTTAGTAGGGCATGTATTAAGTCAGATAATTAGGTCTCAATAGTATTATTACTAAGAAGGTAATACAATTACAAAGGATAAAACAATTGAAAGTAAGAGACATTAAATATCTGGGATGAACAAAGAACAGCTGGTTCACAGTTATCTCAAGGTGTAATTCAGTGTACTGTCCTTTTTTCAGCCACTATGTTCTTGCAGATTACAATGCAATACATTACATTATCAGCGAGGAACATCTTCAGCTAATGAGTATCTACACCACCAAATAATGTACACAGACAGCAAAATAAGAATGTTTCACTCGTTGCAAGGTGATCGCTGGTGCCTAAGTAGAAGTAGACATAAGAAACGAAAAAAATGAATAACAGGTGCCTGAGTAGAAATCACAGGGAAAAACAATAACTAGAGGATCTGTGCCAGACATCCCTACAATAACCTGTAAGGCTGTTAACTAACTATAAGAAAAACAGTTTCAACACCGAAACCCTAGACAATCTAGCAAAGGTAGTTTGACACCCTTATTCATCACAAAATCCTACCCTTTACCAATGACACAAATCTAATGGAAACAGAGTTTCAATTTATGACATTCAGTACACAGATCTGAACGTCGCCTCTTATTGGTCTGCACAAGCTGATAGTCCAACAAAAAGACAGTAACAACAATGACTTGCCGACCAGGTGTCATAACTAAAAGATAAAGATCCACAAGAAAAGAGGTTCACCTTTATGGAAGCGCAAATAGCATCACGACTTACAAGAACTACCCCGTCTACCAATTCTTTGCATAAACGGAACGTCTCTTCACCAACTACTTTAACAGCTACACCATCTGCAAAACCTCCCACCTGATCCAGCACAACTCTTTGATTATGATGTAATGATAAAGCCATTGCATTTGCATCAGAAGGCTCCACTCCAATAATCTTGACCTGTGTAGGAGATATAAAGTAGCACTCTTCATAAATACATCATTTGACAAGGGAAAAGATTATAGGATAATTAAAAGAATGAGAAACTAGAGTTTGCAACTGCACTTCTAATTTATTCGACTCAACCAACTCATGTCACTAAACTGCAATTATTTATCATGGCAGATACTCAATCTACTATCATCCAATCTTTCATATGGACTCGCTCCGAATTGCATCACATAAAAAAAAACATTAGCCTAGTTCTCTCTCTTGTTTGTCTTGGCATTTATCTTGGCTAATTTTTTAACTTCATCAATAACATGTTTGTTTAGCTTTCTAATACTCTTATGGAATACTTTGATAAAAATACATTTGTAAACATCATAATCAAAATGAAGGAACAAGTGGCCCATATTTGCTGCTACCTTACTGATTACTAGTTAAGAAGCTGCCCACCTGTTCAACACAACTTAACAAAGCCCAGACCTTAAAGTCTGAGCAAGTTAACAGCCGAGCTAAGTATTTTTATTTCTCAAACAGGCGGTTGCAAGCATGGAACTAGGACATTAATAGGGTTAAAACATAGAGTCACAACTTATAAACATGAATTAGAAGAAGCAGGGGGAGGAATGAGAAGATAAGCAGATTCTAATTGGAAACTGGAGTTATTTGTTTCACTGGTTCTACATAAAGCTGTCAAAAGAGAGAAACAAAGATATAAAGAGGGAACACACGAAATGATAAGTGGGCCATGGAAAAATAAATTACATAATTAAAATCCAAAAACATTTAAAATATACAATTTAAATTTCAAAAACCATCCATTTGTTTCAGTGAAAACATTTTCCTGGAAGAAATTTTCACCTTCCAGATCTTTATCTGCACATAACAATATAACATATCTTGGTCATATTTTTTAGAAAGTACACATAGCTTACATTTTCCACAAACAGTTCTACCAGCAGACAATTGGCTTACAGAGATGTTTTTTATTTTCCACAACCCGTTCTACCAGCAGATGATTGCTGTTCAAGTGCTTGCTGTCTAAGTGCCCAGAAAATTAAATATAAAATTGCATTTGGACATGCCAAGCATATAAATATAACAACTGAACTCAACAAAACCTTGTCCCAACATTTTTGGGGTCGACTATGACGTATATATAACAATGTAAAAATATATATTCACCTATTTATGAACCTATATGATGATCCATATGTATGGCTGTATAAAGTACCTATATTCACACCTACATGCAGTATTATACAAGTTCCTCTACTTTCTCATACTGATCAACAATTTTCATAGCTTCAACAGAACACTATAAAAAGCCTTACTAAGAAAAAAAAACAGAACAGTTACAAAATAAATGTATTTAGAAAATTGAAAGTTTTGCCCAAACTAACATGTCTAATAAAAAAAACAAAAAAAAAAAGAGCCAACAAGAAAATAATTTCATTTGTAACAGAAAAATCAACCAACCTCTGGGGAAACCCTCTTTACATAGGCAGCAATGCCAGCTATTAAACCACCACCACCAATGGGCACAAATATAGCATCCACCGGTCCATTCATTTGACGCACAATCTCCATTCCAACTGTTCCCTGACCTGCGATGATATCAGGGTGATCAAAAGGAGGTATGAAAGTGCGACCTTCCTTTTCAGCTCGTTCTTTGGCGTATGTTTGTGCTTCATCATAAGAGTCCCCCACGAGGACAACCATTGCACCTAATGCCTTAACTGCCTTCCACTAAAGAAAACAATGACATCAAATAAGAAAATAGGTTCAAAACTTTGAAAATTAAATAAACAAAAGCACCATAAAAATTATAACCTTGATCTCTGGCGTAGTAGAAGGCATAGCAATGACAGCATCACACCCCAATTTCCTGGCAGACAATGCAACACCTTGGGCATGATTTCCTGCCGATGAGCAAATGACACCTCTTTCCAGCTGCTCCTTTGGAAGTTTAGCCATCATATTATAAGCTCCTCGAAGTTTGAATGAGAAAACCTGCTTAGATGAGACTAACAAAGTCAATCAAACACTCTATTTTGATATAGAAAGAATCAAATTCTCCCACAACCACGAGATACATCAGGGAAAATCTGGCAAAGTGCGAAGTTTTCAATTCTGAGGATACGATATTTGTGACCACTGCAGACAGCATGAATTCAGTAATAGATTTTGTGTGTGTGAGATAGTGTGTTGCGAGTGAAAGAGGACATAAAATCTTCACATCACCAAATCAATGTTACTACTAGATTGGGCATTAAGTCAAAAATTCAGTATTACAAAGGGAAAAAAAATGTTGCTTCTATTATTCAGCCCAATTCAAACAACAGTAACCCCAACTTGAAATGGGCCAAAAATAATTAATCTAATTTAGGTGAACTTTGGAAAAACTTGTATCAAAGCTTCAATCTTTCTGTTAATGTGGCTAACAGTTTGACAAATTAGTTCGAATTTGGAAATTCAGCATTGATATTACAGAATATGCACCACCCAAAAGCTTTTCATTATTTTCCAATATAGCAAAACTTCACTTCAGGTCCTCGCAAATCCCATCCAACACTAACCACAATTCTTTTCAACCTTTCCTCAACAAGAAACCTCATCGCTACACTCAATCCAAAAACCCAAATTGGAACCACATTGCAAGCACCAACCATTTCACTAACAGCAGCACAACCCAAGATAAATAATCTGCACAAAATTCTCAAGTTTCATATACCTTAACAAATAATGAGATGTGTTCACATAGTTCACAAAGTACAAATAAATAGCTTATATGGGTGAACCCAAACCACTTATATATGGTTCAGAAGAGTGGAGGTCCTGAGTACAAGAATCTCCTATCAAGAATCATCCAGGGATATTCTCAAAGAGACGGGGACTACACATTTGCAAGGAAAGATTAGGCCAACTGAAAATGGTTAGGCTTAAGTATCGACAAGTACTCTGTGAATTATGAAAACCTCTTTGTCAGCAAAAAAAAAAAGTTGCATGTGTATATGACGTATGTGTTTGTGTGAGTGTAAAAGAGGCTTACAGACAGGAGATCCTCTCTCTTAAGCCAGACATTGACCCCAAGCCTCTCCGAGAGCTTCGGCGCGAGCTCCAATGGCGTGTCTCTTGGAACAATATCGTAAACCTTGGACGCCAATACGTTGGTCAAGTACTCCATCGCACTCAATTCACCGTCTGTAACCGTATGGTCCGGCACACCGACCAGCTCTCCAGGTGGACATTGTAGAGAAGCCGGTGAGACTGAGAGCAATTGAGGAGATTGACGTCGTGGTGGTGTAGGACCTGCCAACGGCTCTTTAAGCGAAGTATTGGTGGAGGACTGCAAGGGGGAAATCTCTGCCATTGATTTGGACAGTGTGGCGGAGACAAACAGTCTCGATTTGTTGCTGGCGGTGGTGGTGACCGCTTTGACGTTGTCATTGGTGGTGAATTTCGGGCGAAGGAGAGGTGAATGTGAAGAAGCAAAACGTAACGCTTCCATTGGAGAGACAGATATATATATATATATGTGTGTGTGTGTGTGCGTGTATGTATAGGTTTAGAGAGAGAAAGTGGAAATGGGGATGGACAGTCGCTGCAATGGGGTTGCAGCGAGAGGGGGTGGCCGAGGGAGGCTGTGGAGGCAGGAAGAAGGCGGTAACGGGACTCTGAAATTTATGGGCAAGGTATAAAAGGGTTTTAGAGGATAACGTTACACGCCAGTATTATAACAGCCCATGAGGTAATGAAACGTGTCCAAGTTATCTAATAGGAAGAGGCCTCGTCGGGTGTGGATCATGCTGCATTGTCACAGTTCAGTGTTGCTCGAAAAATAAGCCGCCAACTTGGAAAGCCGTTTAATATGCTTTTATTTTCTCATTGAATTTGTCAGATTCAGGAATTTTAGAGGTATCCTAAAAAATTAGTATTCGAAAATTATTTTTAAGAATAATTTTATTAAAGTGTTTATAAAAATTTTTAAATTATAAAATCTGTTTAGTTATATATTTTTAAAAATAATTTTAAAAAATAAAAATTATAAAATTTGTTTAGACAATAATATATAATTTTCTCAATTCTCTCTCTCTCTTTCACTGTGTATCATCCAACACCCACAACTAAGAACTACCATTAACCCCAACACCCATAACCACCATCAACTCAAACCGAAAACCACCCAAACCCACCACCAAGACCACCATCAACCCAAACCGAGCACCACCCAAAACCACCACTAATACTACCACCCAAACTGAGAACCACCCAACAACCACAACCACCACCAACCCACATCTAGAACCACCCAATACCCACAATCACCACTACCACGCAAACTGAGAACCACCCACCACCAAGACCACCATCTAAACCGAGAACCACCCAACACCCCACAACCACCACCAACCCACACCAAGAATCACCCAATACCCACAGCCACCACCACCCAACACCCACAATCACCACCAAATGATTTATGCTTTCAGTCACTGGATCTATGCTTCCAGTCACCAAATTTTATGGGTTGAAGACACCAAGAATGGTGTCAGCACAAGAGAGAGAGAGAGGGGTCAAAAAGAGACGAGGGAAAAAGAATGCAAAAAAAAGTTTTTATATTGATACAATAAGTGCACAGTAAATAGATATGTGAGTTTTTCGTGTTTTCAAAATCTTCAAATAAAACCTAGAAAAACAAGTCTGACTTGTCTTCTGTTTTTGTATTTCAAATCTCATTTTTTTAAAACATTTTGAAAACAAAAATACTAAACAAACAGGTTTTGAGTGTTTTAAAAATTTTGAGAACAAAAAACTATTTTACAGATGCTAACCAAACATAACCTTGGTTTTTAGGTACAACTTCTACTTAAATAAGAGCATCCCAAAGCAACAAAAAATAATAACAATCATACTGACAACGGTTTAAAGGAAAATTTAGCCGCATTTTTTTTAGTTTATACTATATTTTGAAGCACACCTCGTCTATTTTTTAAATATTTATTAAGACTCCTAGGGTATTAATTAGAATAAAATTTTATTAAATTGTCTATAATATATTTGAGAAAAAACTTTATCTACACCCCTTCTAGATAAGTATATCTTCAATAAGACCTCTGATAGAGCAGTAAACTAAAAATTTATTTTTGTAGTGAAACTCGTTTTATTTATTAACAAAAGTTTGTTTTTTTCATTTTATTGAGAATTTATATGAATAAAATATTTATATTATATTTTATACTAGTAATTGCTCATGCCTGAAAACACTATATTACTCGTAAAAAAATTACAACAAATTCAATAATATACCATCATGCATATAAATATTTGTTGAATTTACCTATCCCATAAGCACACAAAAAAAATACCTGATTATTGCATCACGCTTCGTATTTGATTGTTATACTAAAATTTAAATAAAGCCAACTATCAATAATTTATAATTCTAACAATTTTGTCAAGTTTGCAGAACTGAAAAAATCCAAAGTACATCATCTGTTTTTGTGTGTGTTGTGTAATTGTATGACATCCACTGTTGCACAAAAATTCGAAACGGCCCCAAGTCAACATGGCCCAATTAGACAAACAACAAACCAAGTTGCATCCAACTTGGTGCATATTAGTTAACAGCCATCTGACAAGAAATTCAACATGAGATCCAAGAGTAACCTATTCACCATAATTTCGTTGTTTCTTATAATTCTCTTCCACAAATTCACCACCTATAGCTTATTCTAATCAAACATTTATGTAAATAAACACTAACTTGCATTAATAATCAGATCACATCACATCACGTTAGTATTAGTATTGCTATTACCACTTTTTATCAACTACTGTAATAGAAAAATTCGAAGTAACTGAATATGGACCAATTGAGCATGAACCATAATAAATAAAAATATCCGTGTTTGAAGGCACTCGTTAAATTTTTTTAAAAAAATCACCAATTAAAAGCACTATCTTTCCATTGAATGACATCATGAGTTCGACATTTCAGGCATAGGTTCAAGATTATTAGTCATTAATGATAGGCTATCGTTCACATAAATGAATAAACAAATATTCAAGGGAAACTTGTGTGATCTGGGGTGGCTTGCAATCTTTCTTTCCCACTCGTCAACTTCATCCCTTTCTTCCTACCAATTAGTACCACGTTAGCGGGGTTGGGCTCCCCTTGCAGAAGTACAACAAACATAAGACAACCGAGAACGATGACACTTCTCAAGCCTAACACCTAAGTTGGACTTTCTCTTTCTGTTGCTTGCCACTTCAAAGTTTAGGATTGAGTCAGTTGGGAAGTGAGCTGAGCTGATCTCGCCTTTGTTGATCCGGTTGAGGAGAAGTATGGACAATGATCCATTTTTTTGAATTCATCGAGTGTAAGTCTGAAACGATATGTGTGCAATAAGCATCAGCCAAAATCCCAGTATGTAATGGGATTAGTTGAAAAGTAAATTTTTAATTTTCTTTGAATCTTGTAAGCATTAAATTAAAGAACATAGTGATACCTTTGGGGCATGAGGATGAGTCACAGCCCAATAACAACCTATTTCTTAGTCACCAATAAAAACAAAGATATTTCAACATAGAAATCAAAATAGTCAAAGCAAAACCACATAAGCTGAATATATAAACTCTATTCAAACTAAAAAAAAAAAGGTATAGCATTAAAGAGCCTCACATACACTCCAGCTGAATTTGCTTCCAGGGGTACCAGTAATGCACTTGTACCAGCATTCCTTTGTGACCTTCGCAACCAACTCATCTAGCATGGCCTTCTTCTTTTCTTGCTACAAGAGACCATCAAGAAAATTTTCAGGACATTCCCATTGTACAGTATGATATGATGACATCCACAAAACAAACCAACAATTAAAACCGCAAAATTTAAACTACCCCATAATAATTTTAACTAATTAAAGCTCAAACCAACAATTAAAGCTAATTGAACAATAAGCATAGGTACCGCACAATAATTTAAACTAATTAAAGCTAATTGAACAATAAGCCTAGATCCAACATAAGTTGTATTCTTCTCTGAACGGCTGCAACCCTTTTCTGCAGCCTACATTACTTTGTGATCAAATTACAATATTATACAAAATTGAATTAGCAATTCAAGCAAAAGAGAAAGCCAAAAGAAAGTTAACTAAACCCAAATCAGTACTCTAACAGTCAGAAGCCTGATCCTAATTTTGTAGGGTGAGAACAATAAAGCTAATTTCTCTTCTTTTTGAACAAAACATGAGCACTTGAACAACACATACACAATGACCAAAAAAAACAAAAGAACAACATATACACTAATAACAATAGCTTGCTACTACTTTCCGAAAAAAAAAACAACAGCTTGCTGCTATAGTGGCCTAACAGTCAACAAATTGGATATGTAGCATATAAACTATATAATTTTATTTTTTTTGGGGTAAGTAATGAACTATATCATTGTTTAAGGAAATTCAAGTCAATTCTTCCTGGCAGATAAATTCAACATTCTCAAGTACTTTGCTAATGCCAAAAACAAAGGAGATCATACTTTGACTCTGTCTGAGATGAAGGGCTAGCAATGCATCACTACTGAAAACATTTCCAACTACCAAGAATGAGAAAACTGCACGTTATGTCATTATATAAAGGCTGATAGTTAAGAGATGATCCAAAGGAAAATTGAGCAGAAACACATTAATTGCTGAAAGGTGCAGGGGCACCTAATTTGCAGATGAATTAGGCTTCAACTATCATCAATTATGAAAGCAAGAAAAGTAATGCTGGAAACTATCACCTTCAGTTGATTCAAAGTTTACTCCCAGACAATACAATCTAATATATTCATAGAATAAAAACTTATTGCAACCCTAACAAAATTGACTCAGAAGTCATGAAACAATAGAATTTGGTCCAATCAAAGGGACCTGCAAACATATGCCCCTAAGAATGCTCAACAGTCACCAGAGTTAGAAGAACTACAGTATAGAAGAATTATAAAATTATCGGTACCTAAACAACACCAACCCATGAAAATTGTTTAAAAGGCCAACGAAATCTCAGATCCGATAATCATAGAAGAACCAACATTAATGGAACATCAAGTCACTGGTCAATGACTCAATGAAACATCAAGTTAAGTTGTGCGGAGGAAGTTGGCTATCTGGATTACACATATCTACACTTGATAAGAGAAAGAGGGATAAAATTAATCAAAACTCTAGAGAAATGATATTTACAGCATAACCAATTTATACAAACACATGATGTAAATGCAGACACATTATGTAAATGCAACACACTGCCTAAAGCGGTTGTGTGTGTGTCCAAGCAAAATCGACTGTGTGTGCGAACACTGCCTATAAATGCAGTCTAAGCAAAAGTGAAAAACAGATGTGTGTGTGTGGTTGTGATTTTTTTTTTTAACAGGTGTGGTTGTGATTTAGAGGGTGCCTTTGATAGAGAATGTATGTCAGGAGCATTTGATTGTGGGCATTTGAACGAAGAGAAAAACCAAACAAATAGAGGCATATTAAAAAACATACGCATTTACAACAAA